CCTCCCCCATGGGTTCCTGTTAAGTTTCTCAGGATCCACATAAGAGTGAAAACATATGGTATCTGTCTTTCTCTGTCTGGCTTACTTCACTTAGCATAACACTCTCCAGTTCCATCCACATTGCTACAAAGGGCCATATTTCATTCTTTCTCATTGTCATGTAGTACTCCATTGTGTATATAAACCACAATTTCTTTATCCATTCATCAGTTGATGGACATTTAGGCTCTTTCCATAATTTGGCTATTGTTGAGAGTGCTGCTATAAACATTGGGGTACGATATTTCCATTTTAAAAACTAAATGAAAATCTGGATGTGATATGCTAAAATCCAAGGATCTGAGATTGAAGCCCCACCCCGACCCGGGCCAGGCGTGCTCCAGGCGAGGGGGCCCTGTGGACAGCACAGACCATAGAGGAGGCTCCAGTGTGAGCACAGGAAGGAAGTGCCCTGGGCAGGGGTCCACGAGCTGCAGGCTCCAGCGGGCATGAGGGCTCAGCACAGACACTGGCTGTCCTCTCGGGACACAGGTACCTCCATGGAAAATGAGCCACCTCTGGCTGCATTCAGTGATCTGCTTAGTCCTGAGTATTCTGACGAGCTCTCACAAAATGACCACTGTAAACCCAGCCTTAACCCAATCCAAGTACAAAGTACATGCAACGCTTTAAAAGCTCAAAAGTAAACTAAGGTTAATATGAATTTATTGGTCTTAACATTAAGTGAAATCAGTGTAGGAATCATAGTTTTTAATACCGGTATGATATTGTTTGACCACGTACTGACCTAAAACATGGTCAATGCCTAAATGAACCAAAAGTCATTTGCTAACTTAATTTTCATTATATATTTCAGTTGTTTGTTATGATGATACAGATGAGGATACAGGCCACAACAAAGACATATTTGAAGCCACGCTTTGAAGTGTATACATTCACATGGGATGTCCCCACCCACCCCCAGAGGCAGACATGAAGGGCCATCCCTGGGGCCTTCTCCTCTCCTCTCCTCTGCCCACAGCAGCACCTGAGAGGAGGAGCACACACTCCCGCCGCCTCCCAACCAGTTGAGACACCGCTGTGTCCCTATGTTAGGTCACCTTATGTGCCCAACACTCACTCCACAAAGATTAGCACTTAAGGCCAGAAGCAATCGCTGGTAAGACTCAAGTCTCAACCAATGAAAGCAAAGCTTGTGATGCTAAGTTAGTAGAGCGTGCGTGCAGTGAAGCCCATGAACACCTTGTTCTGGGGGCTCTGGAGCTGTCCACCTCCCGTCCTGCACAGCAGAAGGGATTTAAATGACCAGAGGTACCCGCACGTGGGTTAGGGGTGGCCTCTGCTCGGATTCTCAGCAAACAAAGAGCTCCTATATTTGATGTTCCCCTGGAAACCTTGTGACAGAGACTTGTGGTTGGCGTCTAAGTAATTCAAACATACCACGACCAACTGAGAAGCCTGAATGCACTCTGCCAACAAAGAGGACGCTGCGCCACTAACAGCCTGAAAACTGCTAGGCTGGAATCCACAAGGGTCTGACACCTGCCCTTCCAGAAGGATTCGATAACACAGCAGGAAAAGCAGAGGTGAACACTCAAAAATAATATGCCCAGACCTTCATGTTTCTTATATGCTGGGACACGTGGGCATGCCCTGCACTTGGTCACTTGTGTCCCCCGATCCTGCCTGCTTTGAAGACATTACTTTGGGCCTCCAGCGCACTTGGTGTCTGGAAGGCCATGGAACTGGCCAGTGTGGGTGCCTGGGCCAAATGCAGCCATCACAGGAGGCCTCCAGGTCAGTACCTGTGGCCTGTGCCTATGGCCACCAGCCTCAAACAGCTACGGAAACTTATTAACTGAAATGAAATAAAACACAAGTATCGTGTCTGCAGCAGGAGCCACATCTCAAGCGCTCAGAGCCGCATGGGGCCAGAAGCCACCCTGTGGGGCACTTGGCTCCAGCAGCAAAGCCTGGCCACTTCCTTTGGGAGGTGCGCTCTCTGGTCATTTGGACCATACATTAAACATTAGAGGGAAGCAGGTCATTTTGAGAAATCAGGCGGGAAGACCTCCGCAAACAAAGGGTTGTTTGCTAAAAAGCAAGCCTGCCTGAGTGAATCAACACAGAGTCTGCTTGCAAGGGTGACCCTAGACACAACCCTAGTGCTGGAGGTGCCCGGGACAGGGACCTTCACCTGCTGCTCCTTCAGATCCGCCAAGTCCATTTTGTTGAGGACCAGCACATGAGGCTTAAGCCCAAGGGTTTCTTGAAACAGAGGGTTGCGGCCTGAAAGTGGAATGTGGCAAAATTAAGGCAAAAATTCCTTTAATGCTTCACCAGACCATTATTTTATCTCGTCTTGTTATGCATATTGGCACCACCTTCAGAAGAAAATCTTTTTTTTTTTAAGGTTTATTTATTTATTTTTGAAAAAGAGAGCGTGTGCACACAAGCAGAGGAGGGACAGATAGAAAGGGAGAGACAGAGAATCCCAAGCAGGCTCTGCACTGTCAGCGTAGAGCCTGACAAGGGACTCAATCTCCCGAACCATGAGATCATGACCCGAGCTGAAACCAAGAGTTGGACACTTAACCGACTGAGCCCCCCAGGCGCCCCCAGAGGAACATCTTTAGAAGGAAGTGAGCAGAGGAGGAAGCCCAGTCTCAAAGCAAGTACATGCCAGCCAGCCCAGCCTCATACCCCAGTCCTACCCTCTTGGCAGAGAAGGAAACGGTCTCACTGCCATGGAACCACCACATGCAAGCAGGGCAGTGGTTCTCACGTTCCTCCTCAAATGGGAATGGTGGCGGCAGAAACAAAAAACAAAACTCAGGGGAAGGTCTTATTGAAGGGTTCTTTGTTTAGTTGCCAAGATATGTGAGTTCAAAATGAATGATCTGATCGCTCAAAAAAAGGGCCTCCCGTAAAGTCCTAACTAGTATACCTCAGACCAATGCCGCCCTCTGGTTACTGCCAAGGAGATGAGGGTCCCCCATGGAAACCACCACTGAAGGTTCTGCCTCCTTACTAGCACTGCCACGCCCTTACTCCCTCAACCAGGGACCCTCGGGGATCACGACAGGTCCCACCTCGTGGAACCCTAACGCAGGTAGGAGGGGGGTGCCCATATACCTATCTTCTGAACACTCAGCCCCTTCCCGGTGCTTCATCTCCTAGTGAGTCCAGGTGTGAAACTCCTGAGGCCTTGGGCACACCCTGGGTCCAGGCACCAGTTAAGCTGCCTACTCTCTTCCCTAAAGGGTTAACCAATCCTGTATAATTCAGACTCCACCCCAGGGCCGCAACCCAACGTAGGCATTCTTGCTGTCCTGGAGAAAAGGGCAAACATCTAGAAGCCAACAGGACAGGTGTCCTCTTACAGAGCACTGAACAGTAACTACAGGTTCATCACTTTTGATAATCGTAAGATCGCCAGCAAACACTTCTGGCCAGCATGAGATATCCTACAATATTTCGCCTACAGTAAATAAACTCAGTACTTTCTTACAAAAGTTCCAAGTCTTTGAAATAGTGAAAATTGTCCCTCATCTGCTATCCCTGAGGTGGTAAGAACTCTCAAACCAATGCCTTTACCACATAAAGAGAATCCAAGCATAGCTCAAATACAATAAAAACAGGGTCTGGAAAGTACATGGTAATGAGCAAGATCGCCAGACCCTGCCGGTTCCTGCCTCAAGCGTGGAGGAAAGCCTTCTGGCAGGAACGTCGAAATGAAGGTTGCACGCCCCACCTCGAGAACCAACTGCTGGACTCAACTGGAAGGCCTGGGCAAGGCAGGCAGAGGTCAGAGACAATGGATGCTATCTACCTATCAATGAGGAGGCTCGAAAAATACAAGGCCTGGACCCCCACCAGAGATTCTGATTAACCGGTCTGGAAAGGGACCCAAACCAGGATTTTTAAAGCCTCCTGGGGGAACTCTGTCATGTACTGAGGGTTTAGAGTTAAATGCCAGTAACTCTGAGAGGTGAGGCTGCCAGGCACTGTGGGAGCAGACTGGACCAGAGCAGAGACCAGACACAGGAGGAGGACCAGACAGAGACAAGGCTACAAAGCAGGAATGCTTCCTGCTGCCTTGAGCACAGCCTGATTCAGGAAGGAGGGCCTCTCCTGTACCACTACAATTCCACACCCAATTCCAATAAAGTTGGGGGTGGGGGAGGAGGACAACACCAAGCAATTCTGCGACACTACCAGGACGTCCTACAAGTTAACTCAACTCTGACACTATCTACCTGGAGGAAGAGTCAGACCCCACAGGTTAATGCTCAGTCCCACAATGTGCCACCTCCCCACCCCACTCCCTCCAGGTGCCAATCCCGAGTCCAGCTGGTCACCGGTGCCTCTGACCAACTTGTTACAGATGGGAGGTTCCCACAAGCCCCTCCTCAGAGTCAATTAGCTTGCTAGAGCAGCCCACAGCCCTCGGAGAAACATCTTACTTACTAGATTACTGGCTTATTATAAAAGGATGTAACTCAGGAAGTCAGACAGAAGAAATGAATAAGGCGACGTATGAGGGAGTGGGGCACAGAGCTCCCGTGCTCTGAATGTGCCACTCTCCCTCTGTATCCACGTGTTTGCCAACCCAAAAGCTCTCTGAACCCTGTCCTTTTAGGTTTTTCTTGAGGTTTCACTATATAGGCCTGATTAATGAAATCAGTGGCCATTGGCAATCCATCCAACTTCCAGCCACTCTCACCTCCCCTGGCAACCAGCCCTGGAACTTAGGTGACTTAGTGGCTTTCCAAAAGTCACCTAACAACAGACACTTTTTTACCACTCTCATCACTTAAGAAATACCCAGGGTTTGTGGGGCCTGGGTGGCTCAGTTGGCGTCAGACTTCAGCTCAGGTCATGATCTCGGTCATGATCTCACAGTTCGTGGGTTCAAGCCCTGCACCGGGCTCTCTGCTGTCAGTGTTCTCGCTCTCTCCCTCTCTCTCTCTCAAAAATAAATAAACTTACAAAAAAATGTCCAGGATTTTAGGAGCTCTGCGCCAGAAACAGGGACAAAGCCCAAATATATATGTGTATGTGTGTGTGTGTGTGTGTGTATATATATACACACACACACACGTGTATACACACACACACACATATATACACACATATACAACATATACCTACATGTGTGTATATACAGATTTCTTATCATAAACCACAGTATTACAACCACTAAAGGATATCCGGGCATCATGGACCTCGATGATACAGTCCACCAACTTTAGGCTGCTCTGCATCTTCTTCAGCCCTGGAAAACAGAAGAAAGATGCCTAAGGGAAGGCGTCTATGGCTTTTCAAGAGTGATGGGGTGACACTGAATGGTCCAGAATGACACACCACCTAGAGAGAATACACCTGAGTGCAGTGTCCTAAGTCACCATAACTGATACACCCTTGCTGAGGGCCTCTTCCAAGTTCAATAACGGTGTCTCCAGAAAGAAGAGGTCCTGCCTGAAGGGCAAAAGCATGTCTGGGGTGGAGCCACTTGGAGGGCTCCAGCTGCAGTATTTAACCTCCTATGGGTCTTGGTCTCGGCCTTAAAAGGGTAACTCGGACCACCCGACTCTCTGGGCCCTGCACGCTGTGGGGACATGCTGCTGCCTAAGTTTCAGCCACTCGCACAGCAGTGAACTCCCCCTTAACCATTAACCAGGAACAACACCCACAACGAAAGTAACCACCCCCTCCCCCACAGTGTCCCTCAGCACG